AATGTGTTAAATATATGCAACTTTGCAGGGTGTAACCAATAATGAACATTATATATCCGTGAATTTCTATATTAATTGAGGTTTATTTATACTTCTAAAGAATATATATATATATTTTATAAGGAAATAGCTGCATTAGAAGAGAACTTTAATTGAGAAAAAAAAATGAGAATAAGAGCCACTAGAGGCTCTTCCGCCTTAAGAGAGTGAAAAATAAAAGGTCTTTATGTTCTGTATCATCATCCTGCTGATCACTATAAATACGTACACATATATACACACATAGAATGTGACGGCAGATAAGAACCATTCGGCCCATCTAGCCTGCCCAATTTTCTAAATACTTTCATTAGTCCCTGGCCTTATCTTATAGTTAGGATAGCCTTATGCCTATCCCACGCATGCTTAAACTCCTTTACTGTGTTAACCTCTACCACTTCAGCTGGAAGGCTATTCCATGCATCCACTACCCACTCAGTAAAGTAATACTTCCTGATATTTTTAAACCTTTGCCCCCCTAATTTAAGACTATGTCCTCTTGTTGTGGTAGTTTTTCTTCTTTTAAATATAGTCTCCTCCTTTACTGTGTTGATTCCCTTTATGTATTTACATTTTTCTATCATATCCCCCTTGTCTCGTCTTTCCTCCAAGTTAGATGTTATATTGGTTTCCTGGTAAGTTTTATCCTGCAAGTTGTGAACCAATTTAGTTAATCCTTCTCTGAATTCTACTCTAATAATATCATATCCTATGGTATATATATATATATATATATATATATATATATATATATATATATATATATATATATATATATATATATATATAAAGTGAGGGTGTGCTCACAGGTCTTTCCCAAAAATCTGTAGTGTTTAATGTGTTACAAAAATTACATCTGTGCTCCAAATAATCTGCGTTTTGACCCCATTTGGGTCTTTTTCAATATCAACAGATACAATGCAAATAGTAGCTGAAAATTCATCAGTAGCGAGAATATATTCACCATGATGAGTATGACGTTGCCCCTCCAGGCCTACAATGGCTAGTAACTTTTAGAACAGAATCTTTCAACCGCACTCTTTAGGATACCCACAAAAACAAAATCAATTACAAGAAGATTTTCCATAATTTTTGCAGATTTATATTAGAAAATAATTGATGTGGCACATTAATGTTACAATGTTAATATTACAAGAGGGTATAAAATCCCTTACCAAAGCCTTAATAAGCACTCAAAGGTGGAAAAATAAAGAAGTTGAGGGAGCTTCTGAGTAGATGTGATATGTGTTCACCTTGTAGGTTTTTTTTCCCCTTACTCTCCCCTATTATAATTGATATTCTTATGTGGGTATCCTAGAGAGTGTGGTTGGAGGATTCTGTACTTTGCATCTAGTCACCATTTGTGGTACTATTGTAATCACCACCTAGCACGTTCAGCCGAATGCTCAGGACCAAGTGAGTTATCATTCAATTTTTTAATTCCTCATATTTTGGGTAGTGGTAAATATACCTCTTCATTCTCTGGTATCAAATAAAGTAACTTTAAGGCCTTGTTAGCAGAGATGGGCTTGATATTTTTAGCCCTAAGAGATGGTATAATTGTATTAGAATCAGTGTCGGATACCCTAGCTTTACAATTCATTTTATTTTATTTTTAAATAATCTAATTAGCAGATCCCCGCAAAGGGTGGTAGAATCCTTTCAATGGGCCTAGTTGCACTAACAGGGTTATTTACACCACCTGCTAATTGAAGAATGACAAACAATAAAACACGATATAGATTAGGCCGCAATTACCAGGGCATCCAGGTCTATCTTCTCCTGCTCAAACACAGTAAGGAATTCGGTGAGACCCAGCTCCTGCAAGACATCGTCTAGCGCCTGCTTCTTTTCCAGGGGACTTGCTCCTTGAGCCTCAGTATACAATAAGACAAAGTGAAGAAGAGTATAAGAGGAGATAAATACCATAGCTGAATGGTAAGGTTCCCACATTTTAGAAAACACTAGAGTTCAACATAATTACTAATTACCTTTGTTTGGACAGGATTGTTTGGTGTGGAGTCATGCTGGTTAGTGAGTAAGTCAAACATAATGAGCGAACCTATGTAAAGGATAGATCAACTGTTTAGGTAATTAAACTGTATACAAGTCCCTCTCAAAACTACAGGTATGCATCACCCAAAGTGATCAGCAGAAAAGAAAATCTATTCAAAACACAGCAACCTACAGACTACCAGGCACACAGAACATTTTATGGGTGTAAGCAGGCGGTCTTAACTGTGGTTCACTAGATAAGCTCTTTGAATATGGTCTTACATTTTAAAGCCTTTAAGGTATAACTTCTATAGTTTGAGGAGTCAATTACTTCTACTAAACATGCATTCTTACCTCTATTATTACATACACATACTTTCATTTTTTAACACTCCATTTATTGGATGCTCCTATCCATAGCGATATCCATTTTTAGATATAGACCTTAATGATGAATCTATGATATATTTTTTTAAATTCTGGTTGGATCGGGAGCCTTATAGGAGTTAGGGACTTATCGGACATATGGACTGAAGCATACCAAGGCTATATATAGGCATGGACTGAAGCATACCAAGGCTGTGTCCAGTCACAGATACATGTCCTTTAAATGCTGGGTTCCTCTGCTTGAACAGCTGGTAGAGCCGGTTCATCTCCCCACACACAGTGTCCACAATAGTCTGACAGTACGTTGGACTGTTGTAAAAGAAGAGGTCCAGTAGTGTCTCATTGGTGAAGTGACGGAGGATACTGATGCTGGGGAGTGTAATCCTCTTGATGTCACTGAAGGGAAAAGAAAAATCAGAAAAAATACATATCTATACAGAGGATTCAAGAACACACAACTATATATGCAATTAAAGAGACTCTCCAAACACCATAACAACAACAGTGTAGTTGATTAGGGTCAAGGAGAGACTTTAATTAAAAAACATTTTCTACGGCTTAAGAAAAAAAAGATTTTTATCAGAAGTCTATCGCGTCTGCAGGGAAAGTCAAAATGAGGAATATTTATTTGGCTGTGCTGAACTTCTGCAGCCCTTCCAGTGGTCAAATTACTACAGACACTTCTAATGAAGCCGAAAGAAGATGCCAAGTAAACACAAGTAGTTTTCACCAAATTGAAACATTCTGTAGTTTAGAAATGCAACAATTACCATGAATCTTATGGGTTTATTTATTTGCATAGAAAATAAAATAACATATAAATATTGATTTCTATGTAATTAAACTTAATACTACAATATGGACATGTATTATGCTGCCTTGTTGATCTAACACCAGTGCAGCTAACAGAAACAGTGTCAGCAATTTGACTCTCTTCCTTACATATCAGCAGAAAAGGTTTACATTTGGGCTATTTTTGAAAAATAAAGCTTACCGTAGTAAGAGGTTCAAGGCATTAAATCAGCACATTATTATAAAACATATTAAAAGATAACGTAAAAATCTTAAAGGTAGAGAATTACATTAAAAGATCACAGTGTTTGTGATGATCATTGCTTTTCCATACGAATAAAAAATAAATAAAAAATAACACACATCATAATGCATTTACAGGGGAAAAAAAATGTCCCTTAATTTTTTTCCCCTGTGTCAACAAACACACACACAAAAAAACAAAAACGAATAGTGATATAAGAGGAAAGTATTGAAAGTTTGTATTTTCAGATACATATTGAAAATTAGAACGCTACACAGCACAACCACACATTAACACAACCACGTGCAAACAAGATTATTAATGCAAAGATCCAGGATGAAGATTAACCCCTTAAGGACTGAGCCAAATGTACACGTTGTGAACGAAACAAAATGTAAACAAAACCTGGCATTTGCGCTACATGTCTGTCCAACCGTAATTCAACTCTTTCATATTAAATACACGCACCCTTATTATATATCATTTTATTCAGGGGAAACAGGGCTTTCATTTAATATCAAATATTTAGCTATGAAACATAATTTAATATGAAACAAATGGGAGAAAATAAGATTTTATTTTTTATTTTTTTAGTTCTACATGACATTTTAACGGTCAATGTCATAATACTGTTTGCTTTTACTGCAATAAAATACACATATTTGTATTCAGTAAAGTCTCACGTGTAAGACAGTACCCCCTATGTACAGGTTTTATGGCGTTTTGGGAAGTTACAGGGTCAAATATAGCACGTTACATTTGAATTTGAAATTTGCCAGATTGGTTACGTTGCCTTTGAGACTGTATAGTAGCCCAGGAATGAAATTTACACCCATAATGGCATACCATTTGCAATAGTAGACAACCCAAGGTATTGCAAATGGGGTATGTCCAGTCTTTTTTAGTAGCCATTTGGTCACAAACACTGGCCAAAGTTAGCGTTAGTATTTGTTTGTGTGTGAAAAATGCAAAAAACCGCCAATTTTGGCCAGTGTTTGTGACTAAGTGGCTACTAAAAAAGACTGGACATACCCCGTTTGCAATACCTTGGGTTGTCTACTGTTGCAAAGTTATAGGGTTAAATATAGTGCTAGCAAATTAAATTTCCTTTACTTTCGGCATGGGTTGTCAGGCAGGTCCCGCTAATTGTAATTAATTAAGATACTTATTATGTAAAAATATTACACACATATACATACATATATATATATATATATATATATATATATATATACACACACACACACACACGTATATATTTATGTATATAGATATATATATTATTTCGTTCTACGTGTATTTTATATATATATTAATATCACAATAGTTAGAACGAAATAACACACATCTATTTTTATTTTTTAACGTATTTACATATTTAATTTTTTTATATTATATCTAAATATATATATAACAATAATTATATATATTTAATCAATATCAATCTACGTGTAATTTAATATATATAACAATAATTATATATATACTAATAGTAAAATACACCTAGACAGTGTGTGTGTGTGTGTGTGTGTGTGTGTGTGTGTGTGTGTGTGTGTGTGTGTGTGTGTGTGTGTGTGTATATATACACATACACACACACACACACACACACACACACACGTATAGAATAGCTTGCACTCACGGTCTTTAAGTGCGATGATTATATGATATGCTTTTTTTACACTTATATATATTTATTTTTTTACACTTTTTAACTTTAATTTGATTTTATTTCCAGCCAGCAGGGGGACTACCTGTCATTACAGGCAGCCCCCGTGCTGGCAATGCAGCGGCCAGCTATCCCGGCCATGTGATTGTGAGGTCCTCGCAAGGACCTCACTCTCACATGGCCGAGGGGCTGCCAGGAGGAAGATGTGCCGCGGGGGGGCTCCCTGTAATGGGGTAAGTAATGAAAGACCAGAGGGCATACTATTATATTTAAAGCCGCCTAAACTAGGGCGTAATAGTACGCCCTCCGGTCTGAAGGGGTTAAGTAAAGTTTTCAGGCACCTGCAGCACTGGCTCACAACTGCACATGTACCGGATTTCTCCCTTTAATTTTACGAATTTCGTAAGTTTATGAATTTAATGCGTTCTCCGGGAAGTTTCTTTTTGCGAAAAATTTGTAAACCGAAATACAGTTTCCCATAGGAGTGCATTGAAAACCAATTAATCCGTTCTGGAGGTCAGAAACAAAGTCAAATTGAGATTGCATGGGAACCGACAGACAATGCAGAACATACAGTAAAAGACATGCAAACGACAAAGCTCAGCTCCCTGCTTTTCCACCTCTTGAGAAATGCAGTAAAAAAGTTCAAAAAAGTTCCAAAACCACTGCAAAAAATTTCCAGAATGCCTCACAGACTCCAGCATGCACAGGGGCAGCGCTATAAACCTCCCAGGCGCAATGCATCCTGGGGAAACTTACTTTGTATTGCGAAAAAGATTGTAAACTGAGGCATTATTCTCAATGGATTTTCATTTGTAAGCCGAAAATTATGTTAACTGAGGTAGCACTGTATACTTGATTTTAATAAGGAAGTGAGAACACATTTATCCATCTAACTGCTTAGTTTTGTAATACTCTCATCACAAAATTCACACTTACTTGTCAACACCAGTAGCATCTGCATGAAGAGCACTGTGCCAGTCAACAGGGAGAAACTCCACACGCCCAATCAGGTCCTGGTCCAAAGCTTTCTTGAAGTGACCACGCAACAGCCTCAAGGATGCAAACCGAAAATCGTTCACTGAACCAAAATGGGATACAGAGAAATGAACATGAAAATGATCTACCCAGATACTATCTATGTTGACTTCCTCTTTAAATCATTTATCTGCTTCTGTCTTCCCATTCTATACATTGTGTATTGGGATACCCATCTGTTCCAGTTACTGCATGGGATACGCAACAGTACAGTGGGCGGTAAGTACCACAAGAGTACAACACTAACTGCTTGTACTGGTATCCTCCAGTCAGTATGAATTCCAAGCAGCTTTCTAATTGGCTTCTGCTCTCACCTGTTCACTGTTATCTCGCCTTTATTTTTTATGACTGTGGTATATCTACTAAACAATGCACTGTACTGAATTGTAAAATCAAAATGTAAGAATTAGGCAAAAATACATTCAAAGTCATCTATGAACACTGTTTGGCTTTTTGCCTAAATGTTGCAATTTAGATTTCACACTTCAGCTCACATCAATATTTTATTCTTTATCCTTTAGCCTTAAGTGGCTTATAAACATCACACTGGTTTACAGAAAGCAGCTAAATCTTCCAAAATTGCACCTGGTGGCCTGGTTCCTGTCTCCTACTTAAAAAAAATTTCAGCTATATGTTTGAATGCACTTTCTTCCAAACATACTCGTTCTGTCCAAAATGCTTCTTCAATAAGGCATTTGATAGGACAATGCTGTGGCAAATGAGCCTATGCCACAAGCTCCTGGAGAAGCATGCTAGCTAGCATCCTGCCCAAAGACTATGGAGCATATCCAAAGACCCTGTTCGGGAGTTAACCTGCCCGGCTTCCCAAAGAGACTTATCCTCATTTTCCCTGGTTGGGTACTTTCGCTCTGAATTTACACTAACGCTCGGTCCTTGGCGGTCGTTCAGAAATCTAAACCTGCAAACAGACTTCAGCAGTACTAAGCCGTGACCGCTATGAAACCCTTTTGGGCTATGTTACTTTGCGCGTCCTGGTCATCTTGACCCGGTGTAATGACCCTCTCGCCAACCTACCAGGAGAGAGCTTTTTGGAGGGAAGGTGCCTGAGACTGTGTGGAACAATCGCTCCCTGAGAGCCAGGAGGAGCCCCTTTAGTTCGTTCACAAGAGCCCTTGACCGTTGACCAGCAAAAGCACCAAACGCTCTGTTTCTATTTTGGGAATGCCACATCTGCGGCCGGTCAAAACTGCATGTATCTGAGCGCTATTTGGACAACTTGGGCACTCAGGTCATAGCTATCCGGTGATATAGGACATGTGGGGATGCTTTAATTCATGAAGTGTATTTTTTTTTTTTTTTTCGTATGTGTTGTACCGATTATCAACTCACTTATCTTTTGGACACAAATATGCCTGGGCGGGCTTATGTGGAATACAATGGAGACCCCATGCTGGGGGTCTGTGTATAAATTCTGTGTGCCTTGCCTGAATAAAGCAGTTCATTTTCACCATTCACTCAGTCTTGATTAGTGTTTGGGTGGACCAGCTATACTCTCTGCAGTAGAGCATAATCACTTAGAGCTATACCTAGGACCTGGTTGCAGGGTGGGAAGATACAGAGAGACCCCAGCCAAGTTGAGGAGGCTGGGGGCTGAACCGTGCTTGGTGGAGGTACCCAGCTTGGGTACAGGGAGTTCTGTCACTAACACCCACAATAAACTTACCTGTAGAACTAGAACCTGCAGAAGAAGTATGATATTAGGCATTTAGGACAAAGAAAATCTGAAAAAAACTTTTAAATTGAAAATATGCATTGTTTTACCTTCACTTTCTATTTAAATTGGAGTTAAGACAGGTTTAGTAGTTGGATACAAGGAGTACCACTGAGCTGGCCTGAGCAAGACTACATTCTTGAGATCTAGTGAAAACTAATCACATATTTCCTGGTTAAATACAGTTATAAACCCAGTATGGATCACCCATTTAAGAATCATGCACTCCCTTTGCCTTAAAAAATAATATATATTTACTATGGTAATAGTCAAGAATGAGAAAAGAAAAACAAACTCACCACATTGTATAATGCTTCTAAATTGAAGGTCACAAGCTGGACCAATGCCATGGACCATGAATACCAAGTGATCAATGTGAGAGGTTTCCCCTGAAAAACATAACAAATATTACTTAATTTCTTAAAATAAAATAAAAAAATAAAAATAAAAAAGGTCATTAAATACACGTGACATTCCTTTTATGAAACGGGATTCTTACATTGCAGCTTGCTATGATGACATGGATCCTAAGGCGTTAATAAATAACACCGGCTCACTGATTGGAAAAGAAGTTCCCAGCCGAGACAGTGGGGAGAGTGTGGAAGTGAAAGGGTTAAAGTCACCAGACCCCTGGTTACCTTTTGCTAGTCCCAGCAACCACTAAATTAACCCCTGCAATCCCTTCTACACTAACACCCTAGTGCACACTTTACTGCCACCACCAAGACTTTATATCCGGGTGTCTTCTGTTACCCCACACACAGTAGAATTATAGGATCACAGCCTTACTTTACTGATCAGACATATATATTTAACCCTTTGGTAACATGTTTACCTGAGCTTTTACTGAGAAGAGTGAGCTCATAGAGAATAAAGACACAAGCTGATTAAGTGAACATTTAATCTGACAAAAAGGATTTATAGTGCTGTGTACAAACATACAGAAATAACATACAGAAACAGATAAATTGCAAAACAGTCCATAAAATAGGAGAAAAAACAAGAAATCCTTATGTATAGCTACCCCTTATATATAATTCTTGTGGGAGATTCGGGTGTTACAGGTCTCCAAGTAGTTGTTGAAAAACGAAAAAAAAACTGGATAGTCCAACATCCTCAATATATCTTAAACTAGTTGTTTCTAAGTGGGCAGACCCCTGGGTGCATCAGAGTGGTTTGGCCTGACAGTTTATTGACCACTCCATAGTTTTCTTACATTATGTTGTCCTTTAAAGAACCCAAAGTCAGAGCATATGCACCAATACCTTTTACGATACCCTATGTCCAGCACTGGTGATGGTTATCTAGTAGTTTTATGGCTTAGGCCTGGTGTAAGATCAAAGCCTACAATAAATGTTATCCCAACATATCCAAAAACAACTCAGTCGCTACAATAAATGTTATCCCAACTCATGCTTTGGCATGACAAGCCCAATGTAGAGTTCTCGGTCAGCATTTAATATAATAACGTATCTCAAAATACATCTTACAGATATGGTTAAAGTAAGCTCCATAATAGTCTGCATCAGTTAAAGCTCACAGACAATAAATTATGGCTAAATATGTTATATGCAACTAACAATGAACAGCAATATGAAGAATTCTCACAGCTAGCCACCTTGACAGTTTGTGAGCATATCTAATGACACAGAATATGGAAATTGGACATTTAGGACAACTATTCTTAATATTTAAATGGACTTCTATCAAGTACACTCCAAAATGTCAAACACAGAATAACAATCTACAAGCTCAATTTCACCAACATGTCAATAGCACGATTATATAATCAAACTCAAACATGCATATCATGGATAATCGACACATGATTTCAAGATATGTGTTAAAAGCAGAGGTTAATTACCACAAGGTATGTGTGCAGAAGTGTTTTCCACTCCTCTCTTGACTGTGCGGGGTCTACCCTGCTCACTCGGTGTAGCCCCCCATTCATCTGGAGTTCCTGTGGGTTGGTAATGTACCATTAGCTGTGAAAACAAGAGAAGGGATTAGGCAATTTAACAATTGAAGTAATGCAAGACAAAGATCTTGTGCTTAAACCACAATACATTCTTGAACACGAATATTTTTACTATTGGTGTTTTAGCTATTTCCTGTACAGAACCTACTCATAACCTAACATTTTAAAATAATGGCTTCATATGAACACTCCAAATGAACAT